TCAGTCATCACCAACCTAAACATGGAAACAAAAATAAAATAAATATAAAAATTATGAGTTTAATAATTCCGTAATAACCAACTAGAAAATTTAAATTTCGTATAACCAAAGAAAAAGTGAAATAAATATAAATATAATTGCTCGCAAAAAGTTTAATAGTTTTTTTATTTTTTTGTTTTGTCTTCTCGCCCTTTTTCGTAATTTTTCATTAATCAAACAACTACAATTTTTTTTATTTTATTTTATTATATAATTGCTCATATACATAATTCACGAATGTGCTACATACTCGTATGCTTCGTAAGCTTATTTGGCATAAATTGGTGTTTCCTATTGACACATGTTCATGTTTTGTTTTGACTATTATGTTTGGAAATTACTATAAACTATTTAGCCTTCCTTTTTTATTAAATTACCATATACTATTCTTACATTTTTTTATTTAATTCATATATTAATTACGATAAATATGTTTTTATTTTTTAAAAAAAACAAATGTTTAAAGTTTTTTATTTGTATTTTATTTTTGATATATGATCTACCAAAATAATCACATTTTAACGATTTTCGATCTTATATCTTATAGTAAAATATTGATTAAATTATTGACTCTTAAAAACAAATTTGCCCACTGTATTTTTTATTGAATAAATAATGTTGATGCGTATATGTTGAGTTGACGGTAAGGCTGCAAACGAGCCGAGCCATAATTACTAGTTATTTTAATTTAAAATTTAATTATTAAAATATCATGCATGTTGGCCGATATTTTTTGTTTGAAAGCGGTGTAAATCGGTAATTTGGACAAAATGATATCTGAGCGTTATGGCAATGATATCCGATATTTCTGGTAATATTGGACGATACGATACAAAAATAAAGGTCAATTAGTTTATTTGTCAAAAAAAAATATAATAGGCCAATTTACTATAAATTAAATAATTAATATTAATAATAATAACTTCTAATAAATTAAATTAACATAAAATAATAAAAAAATTAAATTAAATTAAATTAAATTAAGAAAAAAATTTAATATAGTAGCTTGAATTAAAATTAAATAATTTATATTTTAATTACTAAAATAAATAAATTATATAAATTTTAAATGAAAAAAATAATATTTATATTTTAGACGTTGATTATTTTTTTCATTTTTACCCATAATTACTACTATTTTCCATGGCTTCTAAAATTTATACGATTTTGCTTAAAAAACACGATGGTTGCGAGAAAAAATTATTGTGCCGTGTTCGAAAACAAGTTTTCTGGAGACGTTGATTATTTTTTCACTTTTGCCTCTAATTACTACGATTTTTCATGGCTTCTAAAATGTATACATCCATATTGCATATATAAAATAAAAAATAATTTCATCTATATTTATAAATAAAATCAATTTTATTATCAACTCAATTTAAAAAACATCTTATAGCAATATAAATTATTTACATAAATAATAAAAATTTAATCCATTAATACACCATAAAGTAATAATTTCATAAATTTTGGATAAAATTACATAAAATAAAATTGAAGAACTGTTACAAAATAGTCTTTCTCTATCCAAATAGATTATATAAAAGTTGAATGTTATTATGTTATTTAAAATAGTAAGTATAAAAGAATATCATAATTAAATATAATAAAAAAAATTATATTTCATAAAGATTGAAAACAATAAATTTCTACTGTAAATTCTAAATTATTAGTTATATGAATTTAAAATATTTGAAAATTAATAAACGTGAGACATATAAATATGAATATAATCAAAATACAATATATATATTTTTATTTTTTTTTTGTTTTAGAAAAATGAATCACATATATGAAGTTGTAAATTTGAGTTAGTTATCACTTTGTTAGTTTTTTTTATTGTTGCATATTCATGATACATAATTTTACAATAAAAATGTAAATTATTTTATTTTTAATTGTATAAATATTAATTTTTTTAAGTACTCGTGTAGTACACGTGTATTGTACGAGTAATGCTCTCATACCCACGGTGGCCACATGTTAATATGTCTACCACTTATGTAGCATGCACACATTGGTGATGTATTTTTTAAACCATTAACATCACCAATGTGTTTATGTCAAACTAGTATAACACTCGTGTATTACACAAGTGCTTGCTAATTTTTTTTCTTAAAGTTTAAAACTAATGAGAAAAAATAGTTGAAAATTTAAATACCTTTTACAAATATATATATATATATTATATATTTAGTATAACACTTTTTATTTGTGCGACTTACTTGTGTTATATTATAATAATTTTTAACTCCCTTATTTCTTTCCGGAGAACGAGAGTTTAAGCTTTTTATGATGATTTACCCCTCTTTACTACTTTTGCATCGGCAATGACAATGTCATCACCGAGCTAACAAGGTAATTTTAGCTGGTACATTAGCTAGTTGTGCTAACTAATCATAATCGAAAGGCTCATCTAAGCCGATCCAATCGCGGGTGCTTCTTGTGAAGTTAGCGTCATTGGTCCAGACACCAAGGTTACATTAAAAATAAATATATCAATTGATAAATAATTTTATTATTTTAATAAATATTATTATTTTTTATTATTATAAAGATAAATATAATTTATTTATGGATGTCAAATCGAAGATCATCAAAATATGATTAATTTGATATATAATATATGTAAAACCGATAAGAAATACAAAAGTTATCAACTTTTAAAATACATTTACAATTCAATAGCTAATTGAAGGAAACAAATGAAAATCAGGGATATATTAATCACTTAGTGCCTCACTATGTAAAATTACAAATAATTAAAGAGTTATATTAGTACAAGTGAAATTAAAATACCTAAGTTAGATAAATAATATTTATGGAATATCTGAAACCTAGATTATTAATTATTAATATATCAATATTATTTGTCCAAACCTAATTACGAAGCATGATTCTTCGCCAAGTAGGATTCCGAAGCACCAGAAGCAGCCATGTAGGCTCAGCGCATTCGGGAATTATATATAGGGAGGATAAGCGGTGGACATATTAACATGTGTCCACCGTAGGTAGGGGAGCATTATTGGGTGTTGTACTAGTGGTAATATTAACTAATAATAAAATCACATTCAATGCTATTCTATTCTATAGCTTTTTTCAAACTATTTACTTAAAACTATATTTATATATATATATATATATATATTCAACTCAATAAGCAAGTTTTTTTAATTAAAATTAGTTAATCATTTTTCATGGTATAAACAAACACTTTAAAATTTCGTACACAATTACTATAAATAATAAATATTATTAAATATTTTTTTTATTGAATTAGTTGGTCATAATCAACTAAGATTGTATCAATATAAAGATTAATATGTAAATTAAATAGTTTATATTCATATTGTTCATTTTTACTAACGATAAAATTTTAAAAAAAAATGTGATTTACTCATTACCTAACTTATGATTTTAAATATTGCATAAACACACTTATAACATATAAAATTTTATTTACATTTGTGAACATTCACATGATGAAATACTATTTCCAAGTAGTGATGTCTGCTGATCAGTATTCAAGTTTTAAAATGGAAACTAGGGTTATGAAAATAGAAAGAAGAAAGGAATGGGAACACGAGAGTTCTGGTACCTCATACCACCATTGCAGAAATAATTAATATCATCAAATTTTCTTGCTACTAATGTATCATGGCTCAAGTAATTTTGTTAATCTTAGACAATATATATATATATATATATATATATATATATTGTATACTTACATATAAAAATTGCAATTAAATGTTGTGGGAGAGGGTACACAATGATCAATAGATGCTCAGCAAAATCTGTAAATAGCACAAGCAAATCTGAGGAAAAAGTTGAGCAACCTATCGATCACAGCATCAACTAATCTTCAGAGTCACAGAAGTTCAAGAAAACGTCAACGGACGATCGAACAAACGTGCATATTGTAATTAACCAAAACCAGAAAAGCAAGCATTATTTCGAACATTCATAAAAGCTGATAAAATTTAACGACAACAGTTGTTCACAGGACAATGAACTGTAGAATCCTGGCCTTGAAACTTAAAAGAGATATCACACATGGAAAAAATTTATTGTGTAATAATACTGTCAAGAACAGAGGCAAAAATCACAAGTCCAGTGAACTCGGCATTTTTTTTCTGCATGCACTTTTGTGGCAAAATGAAATCCTACAACAGCTACCTAGCATTAATAACAACACGTATCCGTAAAACCGTACATTTCGAAATAGCAGTTAGTCGGTCAATCCCCAAAGGATACCTCCACTCTCTGGAGATCATCTCTAGAGTCAAGTGAAATTCTAATGTGCAACCAGAACAATAATTACCAATTCGACAAAAAAATAATACTTTTTTATTCACCTATTGTACGATATCACCATCATTTTCATCATCATCACTGCTAGTCAAGATCCAGACTCTTTTTCATGGCCTCATAAACCAAATATGTAATGCTTGCTGCAGGTACTACTTTGAGAAGATTCGGGAAGAGCCCTTTGTAGAAACCCCGGAGACCTTCGTGATTATATGTTCTCCAGAATACATCCGACATGCTGTTGTAGGAAGTGCCTGTACCACTACGTTGAGCTTGCATTCTAGAAAGGAACTCGAATTAGAATAATAGTAAACAAGGGGTACTAGAAAGTCATATTAGAATAATAGTAAAGAAAAGGAAAGAGAAAATTGGAGACAAATTCTGAAATTACAAAAACAACCCTCAAGCTATACATTCCTTCTTTCATTTTGTTGAATTTTGTTACAGTTCTTAGTCGTGCAAGTAAAATCACGGGAATTCCTGAGCACTATAGGTTGTAACAACGTTACAACTACATTAAAGGAAATTCTAAAGTATTTTTACAATAAAGTTGCTCTTTTCCATCATCAGTTTGTGCAAAATGGAAAGTGAATATAAGCTGACCATTATATTTTGTTATTTTTTTAGGTCAAACCTTAGGAGTACTTTGGTGTTCATTAATCATTTCACCAGATAATGGTGGGAACTTCTTCTCATGGAATAAAATAATCGCCAAAACAAGAACTATATATTTTCCTACTATAGATAAACAGAGAGGGTAACCGTATGTAACAATTACCTAGTTCTTACCACCTGCAGTGGGTACACACATGTTGCGCCAAGAGATCCTGAAATTGTCCCACAACTTAACTGCACGACAGGACCGGGTTCTGCCCAATAATACTTAGATGTAAAATACAGTTTCAATTGAATAATTTGCAAAAGAAGATGTATCTACATCATACCCCTATCATGAAGAATATATTTTCTGGACATATCCTTCAAGGTCTCATACGCAGTCAAATCAATGCCCGCGTAAGGTATGATCCCAATAAGTGACGGCACCAGCCCCCTGTAAAACGCCCGAGGCCCCTCTTGAACCCATATATCCCTTGACAGTTTCCTCAAGCTCGGCACACTTCCGCTCTCACATACATACGTCTGCAATCGAGTTTTCACGAGATCCATAGGATAAATCGAGGTCTGAGCCACAGCCCCGGCCAACCCGCCCGACACGAGGCGCCCCACAGTCCCCACGTCCCCACCACCGCTATCTCCAATAAAACCTTTCAACAGCTCGTATGTGTAGAACTTGATGGCGCTCTCGGGGGCTACCTTGAGCGCGTTCAGACCGTTCCCCCGGAAAAAGCCCAAGAGCCCACCTTCTTTCCATATGTTCCGGACTGCAGGCCCGATGGAGGCATGGGTGGTCTGGACCTGAAGGATTACTTTCAGGCGGTCGAGAGGGGCAGTGGCTGTGCGGGAGGCGGCTCCGGCGACTCCTCCGGCGATTAGGTACTTTGTGGCGTGGACGGGACTGCTGATGCCCTCGGGGATCATCACAGCCTGCTCACCTATGTCGACCAGGTATACGCGCTCCCAGTACCGGTAGATGTTCTCGAGGGTGGCCTCGTGTGGGTAGAGCAGGAGAAAGTCCCTCCACTCCTCAAAAGTGATGATGCCATTGTTGTCCTTGTCAACGTGCTCGACAAAGCTGGCGAGCTCGTTGTCGTCGATTTCTATCCCTGGTGGAAACAAACTGCCATAACTCATAAGATGAAGACATAAACTTGTGCCTGAGAGGACTTAAAAGGACACGCATTGACAGCACACACGAGCTGAAATGGATTTGACAGAGAGCGAAGCACACCATGATTTAGGAAGTGGGTAGCCATGTAAAGAGGATACTATTGACAGTTAGTACTAGACTGAGAGCGTACTTGCTTGTGAACAGGAAAAGACCCACAACAAAACATAGAAGACTAAATGTTCATAAAGACATTTATCGATAACCGAAATTGCAATATTAAGAAACAAATGGAAACATAAAAAGTAAAATCTGACCATACGGAATATCATCAAGGAAAAATAAAGATGACAGTATTCTTGTTTGTTTTATAGAAAAGGCATATGATATGTAAGTTTAATAACTGAATTGGGAAAAATTTAGTAAGGATAGGTTTGACAAATCTATAGTTGATAAGTTTGTTGATTATGGCTAATGGATGAAATCTAGTTGATATACTAAAAGAGTTTGGAAAAATTAAGCTTTTTCATAAAGCTCAACCTATCAAACCAAGTTTAAGCTTATGTGAATACAAAGAAGTTCATAAGCTAATTAAATAAGCTATAAGCTAGCTTATGGTGTTTACCGAACACCGTCTAAATCACTCAAGAAACTACTCATAAAAAAAAAAAGCAAAGGAATATGATCCAAGATTATGAAATCAAGTCATTTCTGATTATGTTTTCGAAGCGGTCACGGGAAAATGGCCGGAAGGCTTAGAGAGGGAAACAAATATAAATTTGAAATGTGTTTGTCCGCGTTAATTTTTGGTGATCAAGAAGAAATTGATGATATGATACCGTGGCTTTTCAAGATAAGCATAAAGCTGATTCAATCCATACATGAGTCAGCTACATATTTAAGAACAACTCTAACATATTGTCTAGTATGCAGACAAGCAGAATCTTCAGACAAGGCTGGCAAATCAAATGACAACAAGAACCTACTTACAATAGAGATAGTGTTCATAGTGAACGTCTGTTCTGTCCCCCATCACCAGAATACTAATGCAATTCATTAATTACCAAACAATCTTGTATTGATATTTGACTTGGGCTTTCGAGATGAAATTTAACAAATTGAGTTTGAGACTGTTAGCCCTGCTGGGTTCAACGAGTCCTATATCACATGCCGAATTCCAGCCACGAGGAAACAAGTAACCATCAGTGACAATTCTTCAGTAATATTTGAGGAGAAAAGTTGTCATGCTCCGAAATCAAGAAGGTAACATATGAGATAAAGCATGAGAGTCATTCTTCCAATAAAATAAGTAAATTGATCGCATTCAACAATCAACCATGGAAAATGTCAATCAACTCACACTATCAAGAAGATCAATAAACATGAACAAGAAAAACAAAGGCAGCGAGAATATACCAGCCTTGACAAGAGCATCCCACAATTCCTCAGGCGAAATGGACCCATTGTGCTCCACATCGATTGCCTGGAAAATCCTGTACAATTCCAGTTCCTTGTCATCCATATACTTCCTAAACTCCTGATAATCGACCCGCCCATCCTGATTCGAGTCGCACACCTTCAGAAGCTCCTTGGCGAACTTGTAATCCGCAGGGATTTGCATTGCCGACAGCCCCTTCTCGATCAAGGCGGAATCCAAGTGCCCAGCGTTGTTGGAATCAAAGAAGCTGAACAAACTTCGGATTCTCGAGTCCCTCTCCTCCTTCGTCTCCCGCAGGGCGGCCAACACGTGGTCCATCGACACCGGGCTGTAGCATCCGGGTCGGGCCTTCGGATCGTCCGCCCCAGACGCCATTGTTGCAGCAGCAGCAACAGCAGCAGCTTGTGCCGGGAAATTGGCATGCCTCTCTACTCCCGTAGACATAGATAATCGATGAAAAAACCAAACGACGACGCAAAAATCTCGAAATAGCTATTTTATCACCGCATGGTGATGCAGAAAAATGCAAACATGCGTTTTCGGATCTGCAGAGAGAGAAGAGATTAAAAAAATAGGATTTGTTGGGGGAATTTTGAAGAAGGATCTTCGAGCCAGAGGACATGACCCGAATCGATTGGGTGGAGCTCCGTTTGAATATGATCCTCTTTTCGGGTCAATAATGGGGGCTTCACAGTCACAGGTTTTCAGCTTTCTTACTTGTGAGTCAACATGTCATTATAAATTTGTACGGTCCCAGACCAAAAGCGGTTTATACACGGCAAACACAATTTGTTCTAATCCTTTTCCCGTTTTCCCCACGTAAAAGCCTTGAAATCTCTGGTTGAATCCTCTCAGTCGAGCAATCTACGCCACCACGGCGTCATCCGTCATCGGGTCGAGCGGCTCGTCCCTCAAGACACTGTCGTCCCCTCCCCTATGTAGAGCTTTGTCACTGGTATGTGGTCGTCTATATCAGGTTCTTTGGAGCGAGTTTTCGGCGTGTTCCACGAAGTGGTCGAATGACTGACTCCAACCATCTCCTTGCGATGGTCGGGGCCGAGGTTAGTGTCTTCCTCTCCCCTGTTTTCGTTCTCCCTTGGTGCTAGGGTGGTGGGTTTCGGTCAGCGGGTGCGGGCTGCGGCCAGGGCCGTCTCCAAAAATTTGGAGGCCCCAGACAATTTTTACCTTTTCGAATTTTCTGATTTAAACTTGCCTGGTAGGATTATTTGTAGATAGAATCATACAAGAAAAAGTCTAATTAAACAAGACTACTAAATAAATAAATAATTAAATTTTCTTTTTTTTAGACATTGAAAAATTACCTTTAATAAATTATAAATTGCATTTAAGCAGTCACGAAGACAACAAAGAAGAGAAAATAAAAATCATATTACAACAAAGAATTTTTATTCTCACACAACTTTTCTGACCGAACATCATAAAAAAACAAATAAAATATTTGAGACCTCAAATTTCTACACAAAGTATATATTTTGCTATTGCTCATTCATTAATTAGCCTTTTAATTTGTGTAATGGGCCAAATTTATATTTAGTTATTAGTCCTTTTATTTGTATAAATAAACAAAACCAAACATAAACACATAAAATATTTAAAAAAAAAAATTGAGGCCCCTAATAATGGGAGGCCCTAGGCATGGGCCTAACGTGCCTCCCCCTAGAGCCGGCACTGGCTGCGGCTCTAGCCGGTTGTTGGGCCAATGGTTGCCGGTGGGTGTGAGGGGTAGAGGCTGGTGCAGTCCTCCGGTTCCTGGTCTAAGGGTGGTCCATCCTGGAGAGGATTGGGTTCGTTTGGTCCAGATCCAATTAGTCGTTAGTGTACTGGAGTTTCTGTATCCATGACTTAGGCTGAGTTTTGTCCGGGTTGGTGGTCTTCTCCAGGTGTCGGTTTCGTGGTGTTGTTGCGGAGTGTTTGTCGACTAGTGGGGAGGGTGTTAATCTAGTATTGTTAGTGTTCAATATTGAATAGTTTTGTTTTGTTATTTTCTTCTTATTTTTTAGAAGCTTTAATTCACCACTTGTTAGAGTTATATAGTTTATTGTATTATGAGTGCGTTAGTGTAGTCGGATCTAAGTTACATTTGTATAGACCTCCCACTAAATTTAGCAGGGTGGTTGCTTGGTTATTTCTGATTATTGTATAGATGTGCATTTATCGTTTCGATGCAAAAAAGCATGTCTAACTATATGAGGTGGAATATTTTTATAAAAATATACATTTCATTTATGAAACATCATATTTTTGTTTATGTAAAATTCTAAAAGTACTGATGTGATAGTTGATAATTACCAGCATAATAATTTAAAATATAAAAATTGAAAATTTGGGGAATAGAGCACTATGTTTTCATTGATAATCTTGGAACGATAATATACATGGTTTTTTTGTATGATTTTTTTAAGTGCTTGAAGTTCTCCTCAATGAGACTTTCCTCATATTATTTCATATAGCTTTTATTAGAGCTTTAAAAATACACGGGTCAATTTTCTGAGACATTGGTTACATGCATAATGACATGTGTTTCAGGTCTTTACTGGTCCAGATCGTTACTTTTCTAATAGATCAACACTTTTCTGGCATGTTATCAACACTTTTCTGGCTAGATTGTCATTTTATATGTTGTTTGTACGACCATGTTTATTATTATTTTGGGCTCATGTGTCAATCTCTCCTAATATTTTGGAAGGTCCTTTTATGTTTGAGCAGCTACAAGAGAGAAAGTCAAGAGATCCTCCAGTTGAGCC